GTGAAATTGATTTCTTTTACCGATTTTTGTTAATGTAGTTCTGGACACTTGCGAACATTTTGGATATTCATCTTTTAGTGTTGAAAACACTTATAGGATGCTTGTTTCTAAGTTTATATGTAACCTCGTATGTAACGTTGCCCCCATTACCCTACAGTACTGCTTCTCTCACCGTTGCGGAGCTTCCAATGGTGAGCCACGAATTTGAACCACCCTGTACAGTGTACCTACACCTATCATGTTTTTGGAAACTTGGCGCTTGCTCGACCAGATGGCAAAAAAAATTCGGTGAGATTGCGGTAGGACTACGGGGATTGCGGCGTGACTTCGGCAGGATTGCGCGAATTTGACCTGATTGCGGAGAATTTCGGCGAGACAAAACATACACCGAATTCGGCAGGATTGCCGAGATTTTGGCGAGATTTCTGGAAATCTCCTCCCCTCCCTCCATGCATACATACAGACGCAAAAAATTTGATTCTTTTGAAGTTGCCTAATAGTACATTATACCTATATCAAGGTAGAGAAGTACAGTATTATTGCCTGAGCACCAAGATTACATCTCGAGGCGAGGGGTGTAAGGTGCGAATTAACTCAAGCTAGGAAGCTATAACCAAAACGAAATACGCACTTATTAGTACCATTTATTATTATAACCATTTTCAAGCCCTTATGGATCAACCAGCTTACATTAATAATCTCAGTTCAGATTTGTTCTCGGATTTGTTTTAGTTGACCGATACTTCTCTCTAGGGGATGTGCAGAATTGCGGTATTTATAGTTGTATATTCGTTTCGAATTTATAGTGGGGGGAAAACGAAATTGATATTTCAAATCGGATAATAAAAAAAAATAGATCTCGCTGACCATATTGATAGCGGACGTGACCGTTAAATAGTCACGTACAAATACAAGGTGTTGTATAAATGATGTTTATTAGCATCATATAGAACATCGTTTATTGTTAAACACATACATAGAGAGACCCTCGGAGTGAACAGAATCTTTGCCGTAGGTAGGTATACGTTTTCCTTTATAATGGCTTAATTGTAAAAATTCGGTTCTTTATAGCGGTGCGGGGTCATTGACGTTGATCCTACAACAGAATGTCAATAATTAACTTCGAGAATAGAAAATTAGAAGTAAAAATAATTTAATGATTCATTGTTAGAACTAAATTAAACAAAGACTCTTCATCAGTTTTAAATGTCTAAACTTCCGCAACGATGAGACGTTGCACCTGTTCGCGAACCTGCCGGTTGAAAAGAAATTCCGACGGCTCCAATTACGGTTACTGTATTAAGGTATCTTTTTTTGTAACGCAATGCAATGGATGTATTTCATACTTGCAGTGCTATCCATCCTATCCTATTACGGTATCCTTACCAACACATGAGCTTTATAGAAGCGGATTTCTCATGCAGTTAATAATGTGAAAAACTGGTATGCTATTAATCGTTGACATAACCTAAATAAAAACAGTTTCTAGTATGAATTCCCCAATACGACAGGAAATTGATTTAGAAACCTACAAATTTCGAGAATGTCGAGCAAATCCAATCAGATATAACAAAAGTTCAATTACCTACGCCCAACATCGACAGTAATATGAAATTTTCAAAATTAGATGGAATAGGTATAGTAGTAATAGGCCAAAACGAAAGAAGATTATTTCAACAAAAAACAACAGTGAGAGGTTTGCCAAGATTCTTTGGATGGTTAAAGTTGCAAATCATCCGGCATGAATGTCAAATTTCTAAATTAGTTCCCATTTAATTGATACAGTGATTGCACGAAAATAAAGTAATATATGCTATCATATCATTACGAATAGATAGTTGTAGAATGAAAACGCAGCGAAGTGTAAAATAAAAAAGTGTGCCAATTATTTCTGATCGTTTTTCAATGAACTTTTTTTGTATCGTATTTATTTTACTTTCGTGTTGCCCAAGTCAACAGTAAAATTTGTCCATAATATTGACATCTTTTGGTCAAATTCCTGATGGCCATTAAAACATTCATCTAATCGAGGTACATAATACCTTTCCGAGTTAAAATCTTAAAAATTAGGAATATGTGTAAGTGTATGAATTTTATTGAAATTGACGTGACTGTTTTTATACTAAACAAGCAATAGTATCTACAAGCGTAATTTAGTGGAGCGATATGAAGGCGCCATCATGTCAATAAAAGATAGTCACCGGCGATAAGGATTGAACGCGACTGTGATGAATTAGCTGTATTCGTTTCAAGTGATTTAACTACCTAAGTTAAATCAGTTTAAGTGATTGCACTTTTTTTCCATATAGTACATGGCTAGGTATATGGTCTAAGATTGTAAACAAAAAAAGTTAAATCACTTGAAACGAATACAGCTATTGTTTCCATGAAAAAGTACGTGAGAAATAATAATCTGACCGTTATAAAAATCATTAATAATTAATCGTACATCAGGTAATTAACTGTACGTTACATTACTTTCAGGATTAAATTTTGCTGAAAGATTTATGCTAATACCCTCGACTAATACTTATTAGATATTGACGGATATATGTTAACAACATCCAGCGTACAGAATGTAAAAATGTAAACACATCGGCCAGTACGACGCAAGCGACTTGGTGCATGTATCGATCCGTATACGAAATAGCTGAGTGGGACATCAACGAAAAAATAAGTTAAAAAAATCCTATGATCCGATTGGGCTCAAATTCATCAAAATCCGTACAGCCGTTTAGTCACAAACACACAGAAGCACAGAAGAATATTGCTGTGTGCAATGGCAAACTGTCACTAAGCCACCCACAAAGCACCTGTTCAACTATCTCAAAAAAAAACTCGATTAATTCTCGGCTTAATTTTATTAATTTAGAAATTTCAGCAGCGTTGATCACTTTCAACAACTTCAAGGAGTTATTTAAACAAATTTTGGATATCACCTAGGCACTCTGGGCACGAATATGAAATTTAGAACATGCGAACTTGCTAATCATGGGTCGTAAAATTTAGTATTCGACACAAAATTGTCCATTGACACACAAAATGACATTTATTGGGGTTACACACAAATTGAGAAAGCTGAAAGAAAGAGAGACTTTCAGAGCCTGTTTACACCTACCACGTATGCAAGCGATCGATAGACAATTAAGTAAACAAATCTTATTTACTTACAGTTTTTAGTAATCTAATAATTTGGTTGTTAACTGCGACTATTTGGCGTACAAAGAATTAAACAAAGACTCGGTGACAGCTTTAAAAACTTCTTTCCTGTTACATTTGACCTTGATAACCGAACTGGCTTTGTTGAATCGAATGACTAAAATCTTTTGACTTTTTCGACGGTGGAACACATACTTTTAACAAGAGCACCTTGTAGAAAGGCCTCGTTATCAAATTGCTTGACCAGCACATAATCGAACTTTAATTCTTCCGAATAGGGATGAAACGTTTTTGGTAAATTTCTCACGAACACATTTTGTAACGTCGTAAATTAAATCTCTTAGCACAATTACTTAAATTCCTTTCTCAAAACTCTATTAGAAAAACAACTCGGAAAACAAGGAACTGCGTCTCCACATCCAAACAGGGCTAGCTGTAAAAAAAAACTTATAAAACGGGCACATTCTCGGACCACCACCAAAAAGCTTCATTTTTCTTTATGTTGTCGTTTTTAAAGGATCTCCTCTTCCACCTTGAAAAATCAAAATTAAAAATGCCAGCTTTGAAATAAACTGCCCGCCTTTTCTTATCGGTGATAGCATGTGCTTATCTTGAAACTAATTAAATTTCACTTTACGTAACGCTATAACAAAATAATGTTCTTATCGCAATGGCTAGGAAAATGATTTAAATACAGCGCGCAATTACGACCAGATGTTCTCACCTTTTAACATATAATTTCACTTTTACAATTAAATAAGCAATTCAAAATGAACAAATTGCAAACGCGTAATTCAAACAAAACATTTTTGTGCGTAGGCGTGATAGTGTTATGTCTGTGTTTAACATAAATAGAACCACCCTTGTCTGTCCTTTTCTCGCGCCCCTTCCTCAACCGTGTCTATACGTTTGTAAGCCATGCGACCGTTCCAGTTACCATACAGAATTGTGGTCCGTTCAGGATAAACACCTTATAACCGCCAACTATGTCGCTGAATTTTTTGAATCGTTCTTTACATTAAAAGGAAACTTTCAAATGAGTAATAAAATCCATATTGATTCGTGAAAATCAGTGGTTTGTGCTGATAAGTATTCTTCAGTCTATCGGTAACGAGGTCGGTAAGAAGCATCGGAACAATATTGAAGAAGCAGAAATAAATCAATGAGATTTTATGTACCATATACTCGTAGCTATTGGGATATTAACAGTTTTTTTTAGAAAAGAGAGCGCCGGGGAGAGCGCTCTAAATACAACACGCAAAATGCTCCACTAACATCCATTTAAAAGGTCAAGTGCCTTGTACGTTTTTTCATATCATTAATTACCTATTTTAAATATCCATAAACCTATATGGAAATTTGTGTCGCATTGTTAACCTTAACAATGATGTCATTATAGGTCTCGCTTCTTATGGTTTTCATTCATTTTCGACCGATGTCACATTACTACTGAAAATCAATCTCCTGATTCTTCATCGACTTCTGTCCTTAGTAGTTATACTTGGTTATCGCATCAAAATTATTATTTCGGGGAGAGAAACGCGCCTTCTATTAATGTTAATATATCGGTAAATGTGTCGTCCATCCGTATGTTGACCAAGTGACAAATGAAAACATGCCTTTTCTACTTTTGTGTAACTGTAACCGGTAGTTCAGGTAGCTTTGTCTCAGTAGGGGGTAGCATCGACACCTTGTTCGTTTGGGAATGCTTTTGTTAAGAAATTTTTGTTCTCTTCATTCTTTGCTTCAATGGGGATCTTAGAATAGATATCGTGCTGAAATTTGTGGTGAAAGTGTTCTGATGCAGTGCCGTGCATGCGCCAATCACGTGGAACTTTCACGAAATGTCAATTTCAGTTTTACATTGTCAAAATTGGAAAGTGCCAATGGGCCCTTAATTCAATGGGCAATTTTGCCCCAACAGTAATGCTTTTTGTGTTTAACTATTTCAATGTCTTGAAAATCTTATCGTCGAAGAATTGCGAAGCATCTCTCTTTGGATTTCAACCGATAAAGGTCATTTTATGGATTTACCAAATATACGTGCTCCTAAATAATGTCCTGAACAAACATCAATTCATTCCCTATATCATAGTTGAGGTGGTAAGTGTGCCTGCCTCTTTTTTAAGTACATCGTTACCTTTCAGATGCTTGCCACTAAATTTCTTGAAAAGATTTTTGGCAAACGATATTTAGCCTTGGTAGTAATACCATGTGCAATTTTACGAAATATTTTCACTGTGCCCTCTGGAAAATTTACTTCTCTCCTAGACAAACAGTCTTTGCCATTCGTACCATTCTGGATTCTAACCATCGAGATGATTTGCAAAATTGTGAAGAAGGTTTGTTTCAAGTTGCTCGGGACGACCAACAACTGTTCTGAAATTGAAACTTGCGCAACTTTGGTTAAAGACAGTGAAATTAATCACCGAAAAGACGGAAATCACTTGGTACACTTGAAAAAGTCGTGCGCCCGTTTGAGTACTACATGTAGTCAAAGAAGACCGATTTGTGTGACTTTCAAAGTCGGTCGAAACCGACCTGCGTTGTTACCAAGGCGAAAAAATCTTGGGAGATTGAGCAAATCCATTAAACCACCTCCAGAATACGATGAAGACTGGCGGGATGTTACTTCTCTTTTCAATTCCACGGTGAACTCAAATAAGAGGCGCGTAGTTAAAGATTTCAATCCTTGGAAAAAATTACGTTTGGAACTCGAACTACATCGCTTAACGCTGCAACTACGTCGGCAGAGGTTGGAAATGTCACGTTTGATGTTGTGTACTTGATTTAGTTTTGTCATTTGATAATTTCAATTGTGTGAATACATTCGTAGCAAATTTGTAGAAAAAAGTTCTTTTAATGGTCATGATTTGAAACTTTAATGTAATCAATAGCCACATTCTTTAAAAAAAACCTTGAATGTTGTTGGATATTCCGATTTTATAAAAAAAAATTTAAAAATTCTTATCTTGGCGAAACCTGATATTTTCAGAAGACTAAATAAATACGCAATCAAATCCGGCGATTCGCCGAGTAGTATGTAAACGTTTTAATGAAATGAAGTATAGTCGATAACGTATCTGTATGCCACGTAAATTTGGTAGTGGTCTGGTTTTCGTCTACGAAAGTAGGCGTTAAGAGGTGCGTTACCCTCTACACAATCTCGAAATATATAACTTCGTTGTAAGGTAAAAGTCTTTCGCCGCCATCAACTTGTTTTAAATGTCCATAAAGTAGGTTGCCTGCATATTTTCTACACTACACGCCAGATGAATGTTGAGAAATCGAAACTGGAAGCAATTATTATGGTATAAAATACCTTGTCTTGTCTCATGTTTTGTTAAATTGGATTTCCGTTACCATTTTCGTAGCAGTCCCCTGTGGAGTACAACTACTTAGTTTACATATAAATGTCGGTTTACCGTTAGGAAATTCAGTTGTAGGTTATTTGGTTAAATGTTGGTGCTACAGAGTAAATTGCGTATAATTTTTAATTAGTAGCTGAAGATGGCAAGAATTCTTTTACCGTTCTTCGAATCCTTTTAAACTGGCGTCGACGTCTAGTTGGTAGTTATGTTACACAACGCCCATGGGTCATTCCCACTAAAGTGACTAAAGGTATGCGAATGGAAAGTGAATCATCTTTGGTCACTTTCGTGTTGCATACCCAACATTGTTTTTCCAAAATGGTAACTTAGAACCTTGATCATCCAAGCGAGTGGGTGATCAACTTTTGCAAAAAGTCATAGAGTGGTGAGGCATAATTTAACAAATTTTTAAATAAAATGTGATGCAATAAATAATAAATCTGCAATTATAATAACCTTGCGTGTTTAGTTTTATTGATACAAGAAGTAACATGTAAATTCGCGCCGCCGTTTTCCCATCGAGCTGCTACTCGATTTAGACTATTTTTCTCATAGACTTCCAGCTAGAAAATCATCAAATCGTATCACTTAACTTACCATAGATTTTCAAATTTCAGGAGGAGGGGGCAGTGTAACGGGCGTAAGACCAGCGAGGCGTTATTTTGTTAGATGTTTTTCATGTCATGCGAAAATAAATTATTAATAGATCTTGTATTATTGTTGACTATTAGTTCAGTAAATACATAGTTTCTTTGACTTTGTTTACATAAAAAAATCGCGTCGAAGAAGAAAAGCGCAGAATATTTGATTTTTAAGTAATTTAACGTGCGTACAATTAACTTTAGCCTAGATTTTGTTTAAGCATCGCCTTGCATGAAATTACCGATAAACGGGTTAGATCTAAAGTTCTGATTATGTATGACGTGTGATGTAAACTGCCGAGGGTATAGCACTTAATTCAAATGCTAATAGATTTCGAGCACGAAATTACCCAACTGGATTGCCTATTTGCGCTTTAAATATTAATAACTTGTTTGCGTTTAAATACCGTACCTTTTTCCTCATTTCCGAAATTATTTCTGCGAGTTTTAAATTTAACCTTATTTTGTATGCAAATAAGTTCTTTTCTTTTCTAACTGTCGGAGGAAATGCGCCAACCCTAAGTTACGTCATCGTATTTGAAATGCAACACAGTTTTCCTAAACTTCAGACCTTGGTGTGACTGATTCTCCGCTGACCGCTCCCATGGCGAAGTTTTGTGGATTGGTTTCAGTAGAACTATAAAAGACTCCCATCTGTATGTATGCAGCACTCGTATGTAACAAGGTCACTACAATGCAATGGGCTAGTTATCAAGACTGCGTTTTTACAGACTGGAATTCTTGATCATTGCGTCATAGCAGAAATGTTATTATTCATAACAATCAATCACTAACCCTGAACACAGAAACGAAACGTGCCTCTAGAGTCTAGACTACTTAACGTTTCTTATTTTCAAATGTTAATGTATATTGTATGAATTTGATTTTTCCGAAAGAGTCAAACGCTCAGATGAAATTGGCACTCCATTTTAGTAAGGTTATCCAGTATGGGTAATTCCAATAAAGCAGTGACAAGTGCTTATTTTATTTTTGGTAGACCGACAGAAATACCTCCACTCAAATTTGTTTTTTATTAGCATAACATTCTCTTATATGCTGAAAGAATTATTATAATTCCTTTCGTTGAGACCTTTCATTAGATTACCATGAAGGATAAAACAAGTTCCACTCCCCCTCCCCATCCACCCCGTACTTTGATAAGAGGACAGAAAGAAGGGCAGTATTTGGTAGAAAACGGTTCCTTTCGTGGAAACCTTTAACTAGAACACAATGAGAGATAAAATTAATTTTTAACCCCCCCCCCCCCCCCTCATGACAAAACGCAAACAATAGCACATTTTTTTTTATTTATTAAAAAATGCGCTAAATAGTATATTAAGATACAAGTGTATAATCAAGTCTTTAAAGCACGCGCAACGAGTTTAAGGGCACGACGCAAAGCGGAGTGCCTTTAACGTTGCAAGTGCTCTAAAGACCAATTATACACGTGTATCTTATAGTATTTTTTATTATACCTGCAGTATAATTTAAAAATAGGAAATACAATGAAGTCATATTGACGTTATACTCGAATACATGTCTAATTAAGTGGGCTGGGTGTTCGTAATTTCACCATTGCCATGGAAATGTCACTTGACGTTTGCTTATAAAAATCATCGCCTTTGTGAATTAAACGATTTCCATTGAAAAAGATAATACACCGTTCATTAAATCGCTTGTAAAATCTAAACAAACGTTGGTAGGTGTAAAATCCAACTCCAGTAAAGCCTATTATAAAGAATATGAAAAGTTGTTTCCATGGATGAATAGGAAGTTACTTACGAATACAGTCTTAAATGCATCCATAATGCTGGCATATATGAAGGAAATGTCAAAGGTATTTAAAATCTTCTATATTTTGGTGCATTCATTCAAAACTTTAAAGCAATGCTGCGATTAAAAAGTGGAACAGATTTGGAAGCATACCCTAAATTACGCTCGTTTGTGAAACCTTCAACCAAAGGATAGGTACAAAAGCCAAAGAAATGTTCCGCATTTACAGAAAGCGACCTAAGAGGATTTTTTATTTCATCCAGATGACAGTTTCAAAAGTCATACTTGAAGTATCGTTACTTAGCAATTTTAAAGCACGTGTGTTTTAAAGGCCTTTTTTCGCACGCATTTGAGTGTTTAAAACGGAGATTGTGATTCAGGTATAATAAAAAATACAAAAAGCAAGTCTAAATTACGGATAAAGCGAATTTTTCAAAACCGAAATAGCTTAGGTAGTAGTTGGCTTATAAGGTAGTAGCATGCTATATGTATCTATGTTTTCTTTCTTGGTGAGCAATTAATGAGGGGGCTCTTTACACATAAACATTTAAAGGTGGCCTGGCATACATTCAAAATCTGCGCTATATAATAATGCAAGAAGAATCAACCTTTTAGAGAAATTCTCCAAAATATTGCATTTTCCCTTTGTAGGCACTTTTTTCTAACATTTTCGATATATTCACAATTAAGTTTTTGCTTCGCTGGTAGAGGTGTCTCGTCTAGACGTTCTTTCTGCCCTTTGAGAGTACCCTCCTACGACACTTCGTTTTGCGGATATTTGCACTGAAAGTTTTGACATCAGTACGTCTCGTATTGACGTTCCACTTGCCCTTTATGAGCCCCTCTTCCGACACTTCGTTTTCAAGATATTCCATTCGACTTCATCAATAGATATGGCTCGTCCAAGCAATTCATTTTGCCATTGTAGGTACTTTCTTCCGATAAACTGTTTGTGAGATATTCGCTCTTAAAGTATTGACTTCACCAATTCCAGACATCCCAATCGCCCTTCGTGAGTATCTTCCTCCGACAATCTATTCTTGAGATATAAGGAGTTATTTATATCCGATTACGATAAGGGGTAGAGGAGGAGGACGATGGTTGGTAGAAATTATTCTTTTCGTTGAGACCTTTCATTAGAATACCATGAAGGGTAGAACGTGTGTTCACCCCCCCCCCCCATTTTGAAAAATTTTATTTGACACCACCGAGGACACCACTAAAGGCATGCGTATGCGAAGTCTGAGACCAGTTGGTTGTCACATGTAAAAAAGTAGTTCAAAACTGCAGAAGTGGGTCGGGACAGACGTACAGACAAAACGTAAATAGCATGTTTCTTTAATTCTTAAAAAATGTGATTCTAGAAAAGAATAGGTATTTAACCCAGTTTCAATATTCTCGTCACATGTGTTGTTCTTCGATACACATCTCTATTCTGTAACGGTTTTGTTACATTTACAAGGGTTGAAGATTTCACTTGCATTATATAAAATTGATCCTTTACGGCCCTGGTAAAAAGTTCACTGTAACAATCAATTTTTTATTTCACTCACGACTCGCCCAGTTTTTACTAAAGGACTGGTATCACTGAAATTACCTGCAAATTAATGAATTACTTAAACAAAGTAACCAAAGCCCTTTGTTTGGATCCAATTATCAATAAAATGCAATAAAAATCTGTTTCACGATTTTCACAGGCCGATTCGTTTAGGAATATTATGATTATGTAACGTATATTTAATTACATACGTCGTTTATTATTTTACTTTCAATTAATTAACAATAAATTTACAAGTCTTAAAATGGATTAATTTATAACAGTAACTACAATGTATCACTCACAATTTATAACATAACAAGAACGCATCGATATAGGAACTCCACTGAATCATAATTCGATTTGCTTATATAGTAGAACTTTCTCTTTCTCGATAGTTATCGAACGCTTCTCGAACAAACACATTCGGAAAGATTACGTCACATCTGCCTTCGTTCTTTATCGCCGAGGACTAATCTTTTATGGCGTCTCGATGTCTATGGAAATTTCTGGAATGTTCACTACAATTACGTTAAATAACATTT